TTTCATTTGAGTACCAGGCTTCTAGGAATTCTCTGGCACATTTGGTGTTTCCTCTGTTTAAGATTTTGACATTATCCCAATCAAATTGATGTCCATGATCGTCTGAATGTATTGATACTAAAGAATTTATGTCATGTCTTTTCACGGCTGATTTGTGTTCCATGGTTAATATAGATGAAATATACCAACTAATAAGAAGTAAATCAGGTGATCAGAAAGTTTAAAATCCCAATCAATAGAAAACGGTCAATAAATATCTAAAGATGGTTACCGGGAGACTCATGAAGAAATTTAAATCATTTCACTTTATCCTAAATACTGCGCTGAAGATGTCGTCCAGAAAGACGATGAAAGCTCCGCAATTAAACCAAGGAGCTCAGAGAACACTATCAATTCCAAATCATCCACCTGAGTTACAAATCTTTTCTATTATGTCTAAAACTTTCTCGAGAGACGCAAAATCAAAAGACACTCTAAAGACGGTTATTCGTCGATAGGTCTATGGTTTTATTCAACCATAGGAACGTCAAAAACTCAAAATAACCTCAACAATGCCGTTGGATACCTTCGCAGACAGGGTAACTTTCTAGTATAAAGCAAGTACTGTACTATACGTATCAGAAACGTGGCGGGCGGGTCACAAAGAATATTTCCAACAGCCTGTTGCACATCTTTATGAACAACTGTCTTCACTCTATACTGAAGACCAGATGGCCGTGCCGTGCCGGAAAGAATCACCACCAACAAGAAACTATGGGAACAAACAAACAAAGTAAGAACCAACCGGTCGCCCAACAAATATGCAGGAGAAAGTGGATTGAGATGGATTGAACACTCGTGGCTGAGAAGGCCGCTGCTGGGTGACATCGCGCGTGCGTCAGGCCATTACTCGAGTGGAACCCGACAGAATGGGAAGCGGCGAGTGGGGTGTCAGTGCAAGGGTGACATGGAGGAGATCGTGTGATGAGGAGTTGGTTGAAACAGTATGGAGTAACATGGATGCAGGTGAAAAGTACAGCAGAAGGAAGACAGAAGTGGCAAGTGGCGACATGCAACTGAAGCCCTATGTTACACTAGGAACCCAAGGGAACAATAATAATAACAATAATAAAGTTTGTGGAACATCCAGTCTGCAAAGCGGTGCGTTTACTATACTCTGTTAGAAGAAATTGTAAATTTGTACTAGTTGTTTTTTAATTTGATACGATATGGTGATACAAGTACACCAAAACATTTTTCAGATAAACTATATACTACTGATTACCTGAGATGAGTAGATGTGAACCGCTCAAATAAATCAAGTAGTGTCTGCTAGCCAGATCATCTAAATATCGGACGAACATTGTGCTCGTTTGGCGTCTAGATCATCAGCTAGCAAGCACTACTTATTCATGCGAGTAGTGCCTAACTACTAATACCAATCAATATTATATTGTATTATAGTTACCAAGGTTCCAGTGGGAAGCCGTGATCAGTAGGGTGCAGCGGGTCGGGTGTGAGGACAAATACTCGCCACCGAAGACATTGGCTGGCGGTTGCGCTATGTCGTGAATTGGCAGCACTTAGAATTATAGGACCATTGGATGGGGTCCTTAATGGCTTATTGGTATACGAGCTCGCCTTGTAACCAGAAGGTCCTGTGTTGGAATCCCGGTGGGTGCGTGCTGATGAAGAGTCCCTAACTAGGACGAAACAGCTGTCCAGTACTCCCATGTTCTCCAGTTGTTCTCTAACTAATGTCAGCTCATGATGAAATATTGAAACCAATCAAATCCCTACAAACCAACACTTAAATACCAATATTATATTATTATTTGCTATTGTTCCTTTGGGTTCCGATCAGCACACATGGGGCTTCCAGTTCACATCTCCATTTTGTTCTATTTTCTGCCATCCCCTTTTGCTGGTCTCACGTTTGCCTATAGTTTCCCATCTTCTCCTCTCACGACTTCCTTGGTTTCACCTCAGAGCCATCGCCTAATATATCCCTTCCCATTAGGGAGCCATTCGAGCAATGGCCTGGTGCGCGATGTCACTCGACGGGCTTCTCGGCGTGTGCTCACTCCATCTCCATTTTTCCGGAATATTTGTTGAGCAATTGGTTCTCGGTTAATTTATTCGCAGGGTTTTATGTTGAAAATGCTCTCTGGTTAGGCATCTAATCTTCAATACGTAGCCAGAGTATGCAGTTGTCGACGAAAGTCTTCAGCTAGCAATTGCAAATGGTTTTTACGACGCGCGTGTCAAGTTTCTGATACATACAGAATAACTCATCGATTTAACAGTTGTTTTAAAAATTCGAGTATTGTTCTTTATGCAACTGAGTTAGTGCAGAAGATTTCCAAACTGATTCCAGAGTGCTGAAGATCTGCCTCGCCTTTTTCAATTGTGGTTTTAACGTGGTCATCCATGCTGCCCGTCTGAATTTGAGAGGATGATCTCTGGATAAGTGAAGGAAGTCACACCTTTCAAATATCTTCCGTTGATGGTGATCGCTGCTGGTTGTTGTTGTCGATGCTGTTGTGGTGAGAGCAGGCTGCTAGCCAATTAATAGACATTAATTTACGTCAATGTCTAGGTCGCTAATATTGGCCGTGAGAAAATATGAACAAGACTGATTCAACAACCAATCACAGCAGACTTAACGTGGGAAAATACGATTCGTAGATATATGGCTTAACTTTGTGAGGAACCAGTCACAAACAGTACAGAATAACCTTGAGCAAGAAACAACCAATCAGAAGACTGTCTCTGTCTTCTTGTATAAGCTTCGATAATGTACATGAAATATATATAAATACGTGTTGATTTCCTTAATAAACTATCTGTTGCTTGCCCCCCTATCTTCTTTTGTTACACTGTTGCTGTTGGTTGGATGGTTAGTTAGGTTCATCACCGCCGTCTTCTCTATGTTTTATTTGGAATTCCTGTCTTCCCTGCTTCTTCAGCCAGTTTGTTGGTTTCCGCCTGTAAGTTTTCGAGTTTCTGTTAAATTAAAAAAAATAATCCTTGAAGTCTAGACCTCCTAGAGTTTTATTATGTATCCAACGGATTCCTGACATTTCGTGCCACACTCACGGTTTTCTGCCTAATTTAGCCCAGCACAATTGGGAGTATTATCGGTGATAATAGACATGTAACAACAGAAGACAAGGGCCAGGCAACAGATCGTTTTATTACGGAAATCAACACGTAATAATGTAAATTTCACATACATTATTATAGCCTAGTCAAGTAGACAAGCGCAGTCTTCTGATTGGTTGTTTATCAGAAGTTAAGCAGACAAACGCAGGCTTCTGATTGGTTGTTTCGCGATTCCTCGAAAAATAGAGTTCTCTATTTGCGAATCATATTCTGCCACGTTAAGTTTGCTGTGATTGGTTTTTGAATCAGCCTTGTACATATTTTCCCACGGCCTGCTCTCACCACAGACAGGCAACCCTGTCTAACTCCTGTATGCACTTCAAACGCCTCTCTGAGATATCCGTTGTGGATCGTCTCACACATGGTATTTTCAAATAGCTGTCAAATGAGGTTCATAAAGATTTAGGGCATATCATAGTGTTGAAGTAGTCTCCGAATTACATCGCGGTTAAAAGCTATCTTTTGAAGACCTTTACGAAATCAATGGAATTGAGGTTGAGATTTGACTGCCACTCTATGCTTTGTTTGTCAGCAATGAGTAAAATTGAAATTTTTCTCAGCAAATGATTTGCCTTTGTTGAATCCAGCTTGTTCCAGTTGGCCGAGTTCTGTGTCCAGTAAATTATCAATCAATATATAGTGCACATTTTTATCAAAATGTTTGCTTTCTTTATTATCACTAATGGTTTCAACCAGAACATAATATATTTTGTGGATAATTTTGGCTTCTTATCAATACTACGTTGAAATGTCACCACATCAGACTGCGTGGTAGTTTCTTGAAGTTCAGATTGTCAGTCTGCAAATTGTATCTGCCTATGCTAAGTTTGCTGTGATTAGTTGTTGAATCAGTCTTTGTTCGTATTTTTCTCATGACCGATATTGGGGACATAAACACTGACGGAAATTACTGTCTACCAATTTTGGCTTGCAGCTCTCACCACACTCGTCTTCCTGTCAAAGACTTGTGACTGAAGTTGGTTCGGTCTTCTTGGTTCTAAGGGCTTTGTTCCTTTTTCTTGCTGTCTGGAATCTCGGCACTCACTGATGTTAACCTGTTTCTATTTGTTTACCACTGCGATTGTGCCTGCGTAACCCCATCTCAAAGTGACCATATGTGGTACACCCACTTTGGAAAGTGTTTGCCTTACCCTGTCGAACATTCGTCGGTATTTCACTCCACACTTTCATATGCTGCTTTCTCCCGACCTCCCAGCATCGTCCCAATTAGCAACCTCATCGCTGACAGATCTTGAACGCCACTCAACTGCGAAGAAGCCTCGACGTCCTGTTCAAAGATCCATATGTCTCCAACAAAAATTGCAGGGTATAGACTTTCCATTTGTTGGTAGGCCACGACACCAAATGTAACAACAGAAGACAAAGGCCAGGCAACAGATCGTTTATTTAGGAAATCAACACATATTTATAGATTTCCATGTACATTATTATAGATTATTGTAGGCAGACAAACACAGTCTTCTGATTGGTGGTTTCTCGCTGAACGTTAATCTTTCATCTCTTTTTGTGGCCGTTTATTGAAGATCAAATTATCTATCTGCAAATTGTATCCGCCTACGCAAACCAGGTCTATTGTGATTGGTTGTTGAGTCAGTCTTTGTTCTTATTTTTTTCTTACTGTCTACCAATTTGGCTAACAGCTAGCTCTCACCAAATTAGTAATATGGAAGAGCAATATAGTTTCATTAGAAGTCATAAGTCACAAGGAGTGGATGCATCTGCGCTAGCCATTGAGAACGATTTTTAGCCATATCACCCATTGTTTCAAGCCATTGGTTTTTACAGTCAGGTAGTATACACCTTCCTACATGGCTAGCTGACTTAAACTAACTATCGTGGATTTCATTGACTGATGAAGCCTTGTTTCGGTTTGACCTCCGTTAGCTCTTTTCCAGCTTGACGAGGAAGGCTATGCAGCTGGTAGGAAGCTGTGGATCTTGGGTTTCATGTTTCTTAGTACTTGTCTGCAACAACACAAAACACTCGTTGAAAGACATGAATCACTGTCTATAATGACCAACCAATCTCTCTGTTGACGACTGACTTGCGGCTAATTGTGAGGCTGAATAGCCAAGTGGCAACTTCTCTAACTGCAGCACTAGAAGTCGTCGTTTCGAATCTGTTCCTTGAAGATTTCAGATGAGTGCGATTGAACACGATACCTAGGTCCAAGGCATCCATCTCATTGCCTTCAAATATCCTTTGTAAAGCTCTTGACTATTTCGATTGCATTTGACCAAATTTTGCTGTATCGGTTTCACGCTCACTATAGGTATGAGAAAAAAATATGAATATGGAGTGTTATTATTGTTGTTTAAAGTCGTTGTAAAATGATTGTGTTTTTTTTCGTTTGAGATAAAAGCAGATGTTTTTGATGTTGGACTGAATGACTGACTATTCATTCTGTGATCTATTGTTCAGATTTATTTCTCAATATATACATACTACTTGAAAGCACTTCCGATTGATGTAAAAATGGTCTGTTTCTGAGATATACTATGCGTTTTATGTATATATATACATTTGTTATTGACATAAAATCAATAAGGGATGTATGCATTTATATATTTTGGTGTGGTTGTGTCATCTAAGCTGGAGAGTTAATTTGCGAAGTTTTCATCGCCCCCAACTAGGCAACATCTTCAGCGCATACTTCAATTCGTTGAGGTGAGCTTTTAGATTTCTCCACGAGTTTAGTTTATTAGTCATTTCTCCTAGTGGGTGACCTTGGACGTGATTGGTTGTGTGTTTTCACACCTTCTAGGCAGCTACTTGTATTGGAACTGATTGTTTCCTTAACTTGAAGTTTGACGCTTTGTGTGTGAGGTTTCTTCCTTATCGGCTGGTATATTTTGCCTATCTTGATGTGTCTATTGATTGATGATTCACCGGAATACCAGGCTTCTAAAAACTCTGTAGTATTCTTGGTATTTCCTCTGTCTAATATTCGAACATTGTCCCAGTCGAATTGATGTCCGTGGTTGTTTGTATGCAGCGATATGAGCGAGGGAGTGGATATCATGTCTTTTGACGGCTAGCTTATGTTCGTGGATAAGAAGACGAAGGGGACGTCCACTTTGGCCAATGTAGTGTTTCTCGCAGTTGTTACAATTGATTTTGTAGATGATGTTGGTTTTATCTTTTTTCATTGTTAAGTCTTTTGTTTGACATAGAACCAGCTGAGTGAAGTGATTTTGTTGGTTTGTGTGAGACGTCAATTCCTAAAGGTTTGAAGAGTCTTGTAATGATTTCTGAGATGTTCTTTATATATGGTGTGGCGATTTTCTTAGTGCTTTCCTTAGGGGCCTTTGGTTTGTATTCCAATGAATCATCAATCAATAGAAACATCCAGATTGACAAAATTTACCAACCAGTTAGAAGGAAACCTCACACACACAAAAAGTCAAACGTCAAGTCAAAGAAGCAATCATTTCCAATACAAGCAGTCGAGAAGGTGTGAACACACACACACACCAATCACATTCAAGCCACCCCTGGGAGAGGTGACTAGCAAACTAAACTCGTAGAGAAATCTAAAAGCTCACTTCAACGAACTGAACTATGCGGTGAAGATGTTGAGGAGTAGGTAGCAATGAAAGCATCGCAAATTAACTATCCAGCTCAGAGATCAAAACCACAAAAAATCATCCACCTGAGCTAGAAATCTTCTCTATTAAATCTAAATCTCACGTTCATTTATATGTATCTGTGTATGTTTGTGTGTGTGTGTGTGAAAATCGGTAATCATGACAAATACAAAAATAGCTCAAACGCATCTTACAGCTAAATAAACAGGGCAACTAAATCAACAATAACGATAAGCAGTCTAAGACTTAAGGAGAAATGTCCCTTCAAGAAACCTCAGTTGTCGGCTTTACTCCTTGGAAATTCAGTTTCCAGTGTACATTATATGAATAGAGATATAAAAACACATGAGTCGATTTTCAATTTTATTCGTTTTGTAGCGATTTTCTTCGACTGGTTTGCGGATTTCATCATGATGAGTTGACAACAGTTAGAGAACCATTGGAAAATTTGGGAGTGCTGGATAGCTGTTTTGTCAGCCTACTTCGGCACTCTACTCACTCACTTCCAGGGGTTCGAATACAGGACCTTCCAGTTGCCAGGCAAACTAGCTCGTAGATTATTCAGCCTTATCGGATCCGACTCATGATTCATTTTGGGGAAACCATCAACCAATGTCATCGGCAAGAATTTGTCCACACTCCAGACAAGATGGACCTCACTGCTTGCTGGTGACGACTTCTCACTAGAACTGCAGGCAACTTGGTTCTGTAGCTAGTTACTAGCATGCATCAGATTGGTTTAAGGTCGTGCTAAAATTACGAATTGGTAGAAGTTAGAATGCATAGTCTAGTCATTGAATCGGATCTGAGTGGCTGAACGGTCTACAACCTAGCTTGCCTTGTAACTGGAAGGTTCTTGGTTCGAAAGTACACGATCTATAAGTTTTGTGAGTGATAATCTGTTAACATTATTATTAAGGGAATAATATTCGTCAAAGTGTACATAATAACATAAACTGGGGTCATTGTAGTCGATTCAATACAATGATAGACATCTAGATATGATAATATTGGAACACAAGTAAACCTCGTAAAAAACAAAAATAAATGAATTTAGCTTGTGTTAACCATACAAGACTGAATGGGAGAATTTTAGCGCCTGATTTCAACTCATATCATAATTTGAACACTACTCGTCATGAGCAATACTCAACTATGATTTTCGATTAGCACGTATCCTGAAAAAGCTAACAATATGTCAGACAAAGTAATTAAAATGTTTTAAGTAGAAGAGGGAAAGCAGCAAAGACAGGACTCCAAGTGAACATAGACAAAGCGAAAGTTATGAAAATAACCAACCAACAACAACAGTAACAGCAGCGACAACCAGCGTCAACCACCATCAACGGGAGGGATTTGAAAGAGGTTACTTCATTCAATTATCTAGCATTGAGCATTGTCTCAACTACGGGCCACAGAAACGGACGAGTTTGTCAAATCGAGAGGGAATCGGGAAGGCAGGCGAAAAGCACATTCACCAACCTGAAACCAATCTGGAAATCTTCGACACTCAGCATCAACAATAAAATTCGGTAGGATTTTCAATACGAACGTCAAGTTAGTTAGTTCTTCTATATGGATCAGAAACTTGCCGTGTGGATCGCAAAGGATTTTCCAACAGCCTGTTGCAGACGTTACCTTTATCAACCAACAACTGTCTTCTCTGGCTCTATACTGAAGACCAGATGGCCGCGCCGTGCCGGAAAGAATCACCAACTATGGGAACAAACAAACAAAACAAGAACCTATCGCCAACCAACAAATATGCAGGAGAAAGTGGATGGAGATGGATTGGACACTCGTGACTGAGGAGGCCGCTGGGTGACATCGCGCGCGCATCAGGTCATTACTCGAGTGGAACCAGGCCGAAAGGGAAGCAGTGAGTGGGACGTCAGTGTAAGGGTGACATGGAAGAGATCGTGTGAAGAGGAGTTGAAAGAGTATGGAGTAACATGAATGCAGGTGAAAAGTACAGGAGAAGGAAGACAGAAGTGGCAAGTGGAGACGTGCAGTTGAAGCCGTCTATTCCACTAGGAACCCAAGGGAACAATAAATAATAATAATGATTTTCGATTGGGACATATCCTAAAAAAGCTTACAGTATATCAGAAAAAGTAATTATAATGTTTTAAATAGAAGAGCGAATGGAAGGTAAGTTAAAATGCTAAGAGATAAGAGTATCCTACTAAGGTAGATTCAAGGTGACTATTGTCTCTTTGTGTATTCATAGATTTGGCTTCTTCAATCTGATTGGACAAGCTTCAGTAAATACAAGAGCCTGTTGTATTAGTTTGCTTACTTACTAACAGCAATAAAGCCTTTTCCTAACAACACTGTATTTATGATAGCAGTTCAACAAATGTTGTGTGACTGAGCTCCTTGGCAGACCGTCATGGAGCAGTGTTCAATAACTCAAGCCAAGAAACATTCTTTTGTATGTCCAATGAATTCGCTTCTACAAACACATGTGAATTGATAGACACATTTTATCATGAGCTGACATCGCTTAGAGGACCGTTGGTAAACCAGGGAGTACTGGATCTCTAATCAATATCAGCTCATGATGAAATCCGCCAACCAATCAAAAAAAAATCCCTACAAACCAATACTTGAAAACATATTTCAGTTTGATGAGGATCTATGTCTTACCTGTTGCTTGCTCTATCCCCTTCGTTCTGTGTATGGCAAAAACAGACCAGATGTATTATCGGTTCGTTTGATTGCTTTCTGCTAGGGACTCTTCATCATTTGAGTAGTATTAACTTTATGTAAACCTTCTGTCTGGAAAAAGTCTCTGACATAACTTCTCATTTATCATGTTCTGAGTTCTACTTATTTATAACTCTATTGTAGATAAGATTTTATTTTGATAAAATCACACAGTGGTGTTATACAGTAATATTAACTGATGCGACCACGTTTCGAGCACAAAGTATTGCTTATAATCATATCAAGTCATTCATATATATATAAATGAAGCATGATAGTTGTGTGAGTGAGTGACTTGATATGATTATGAGTGGCAATAGTTTTGTGCTTAAAACGTGGTCACATCACTAAATATTACTGTATGATGCTGTGAGACTTTATCAAAAGAATGGATACTGAACAAAGAGCACTCTTTTCGATAACCCCTTCATCATCAGGCTCTATAGCTATATATACACATTATAGTGAATGAATGAATGAATTAGTGTTTTGAATAACAACATTAATGTTGCTGTTTAAATAACATTGAATCAATAATAATATTGATAGATTACAGCTCAACGACAGCATCAACATAAAATAAGCTGAATGTCAGAAGAATTAGGAAAGATAATATTACAAATTCATGAATTTATAGTCTCTACTGAAGACCAGCCAGGGCAGTAGTAGTGGGTGGCTGGACTTGCTTCTTTTGAAAACAGGGCACTGGTTGCTTTAGGCGAATCGCAATAGCCTCTGCTGTTTGGAGCACTCGGTGCTTCGATGATTTTGGCAATTTATTAGGGACTCGGTAGATTATAGAGAAGGATTTTTCCACACCGGGTGGCTTTGTGGCCGGTTTGCGTCAGATGGTCCAGTATCGAACTGTTAATAGTTTTCACCACATCTTTACATAGCCATAGTGAGAGTTGTTCTCGAGGGAGCACCAAAAATGAAGTTCCTAGAGTAACGGCTAATATAACTCGCTCCA